CGAAGCTGACCTGGACGAGCAGAACGTGGACGGAGCCTCGGAAGCAGCCGGACCTCTACCTTACTGTTCGGTCAATGTTCCCATAGACGACGAAAACTATCGCGACAGCATCAACGCCAAAGTCTACTACGACTTCGCCAACACTGGTTACGTTACACCTGCAAGGGTCAACACCGACGAAGCAGAACGCATAGGGCCAAACTTCTTACCCGATCCAGAAGCGGGAGATGAAGCAGTCTATCCCGAGGATACAACACTCCCCCGCTACACATAGAGCGGCCTCCAGATCCTCGGCCTCGTCACCGCGGTTCACGGCACGGCGATTCCTAAGGAGCCTGCCACAGTTCAGCAGGCTCTGGGGGGGGAGCATAGGGAAAAATGGCGCGAAGCAATGGATAGGGAGCTGAAAGCACTGGAGGAACGGAACACCTGGAAAGTCGTTCCTATCGGCGTGGCACAAAACAAAACAATTCTCACCGGAAAATGGGTCTTCCGTGTGAAAACTCATAGACGGCACCATCGACAAGTTTAAGGCGCGCTGGGTCGTACGCGGCTTCGACCAAGAGCGCGGACGCGACTTCACCGAGACATTCGCCCCGGTCAGCCGACACACCTCGCTACGAATTCTCCTCGCGATCGCCGCCATGAAGAAGAAGAAGCTGCGGCAAATTGACGTCGCCAACGCATTCCTCTACGCACCTGTCGACGCAGAGATCTTCGTCGAACTACCACACGGGTCCAACGGAAAACCCAATCACGTCTGTCAGCTATTGAAGTCATTGTACGGCATCAAACAGGCCCCGAGACTGTGGCAGCAGTACCTGCACGCTCGACTCAATCGCATCGGATTCCGTCAGCTACCTCACGACCAAGGCATGTACCGGCTCACAAAGGGCGCCGACTACATCCTGTTGATCGTCTACGTAGATGATCTACTCTACATCGGCTCGACCGACGACGTCACTACCTGGTTCAAAGGAGAGCTGCAGAAGGATCTCACGCTCACGGTTTCGTCCACCGTTACGCAATACCTCGGCCTCAACATCCAGGAAGAAGAGAACGCGATCTATCTTAGCGCCGCGAAATACGCCGAAACCATCGCTAAACGCTTCGCACTCACGCCGACTATCATCACCACACCATACCGCTATACGGCAGTAAATCACAAGGAAGGATCTGCTCCGCTAAAGCCCGCCGGCATACGCGACTACCAGAGAAAGCTGGGCTGCCTCCTCTTCGCAGCTGTCACCTGCCGTCCGGATCTATCCTACTCCGCAAGTCAGCTCGCCACCTACCTCAAGAAACCCGAAGCAGAACACATGGCAGAGCTTGACCGCGCTCTTCACTACCTCGTCAGCACCCCAACGATTGGCCTGACCTACTACAAGAACGGAACTACAACGCCTAAGTTAATCGATTACGTCGACGCCGACCACGCCGGAGATTCTGACAACAGGCGCTCGCGCACAGGCTACATCTATCGCTTCGAGCCTATCGGACCTATCTCCTGGCAGTCGAGTAAACATGAACTAATCGCTCTCTCCTCAGCTGAAGCAGAATATATCGCACTCTGCTCAGCCACCAAGGAAGGATTGTACCTTCGCGAATTACTGGAAGAAGCAAAGCTGGCTCAGTTACCCAGCTTCTCCCTGTTTTGCGACAATCAGTCGGCGATCCGCATAGCAAACAAGAGCGGATTCGCGAATCGAACAAAACACATCGCCTTGCGATATTTCTTCGTGAAGGACGAGATCGAGAAGGGGAGACTCGAGCTGTCATACTGCCCCACGTCCGAGATGGCAGCCGATTACTTGACCAAGAAGCTCGGAAAGCAGAAGTTCGAGTACTGCATGCTGCTGACTGGACAGAGCCACGTCACTGGCAGCGACACTCCAGAAGCGAAGGGGAGTGTTGGAAACAAATGATTTAAGCGCCTCTGTCGTGTCGAAACAGTAAACACAAACGGAGCAAGCAACAGCGCAGCAACGGCGAGTCAACCATCGGAGGTTGACAAGAAATGGTAACCGCTGGAGGTTACGCGAAGGTCAAAGGTCACGCGACCTTTGACTCAACAAAAGTACAGTGCGACAGCAAGGACAAACAGCTGATTCGTTATTGAACAGCTGCCCGAGTCGTCACTATATCGAACCGCAACAGCAACAGTAAAACAGTTATTAGTCATATCTCCCTGTATTCTCTGTACTCTTATAAAAGGCCCTGTATCTCCTTGCTTTAATCAATCTACTTTGCCCTCACATACCAGCGCAAGGTGGTTCAACAATCTTCATTAAACGCTTCCGCTATTACATCATTCCTACCAGGAGTTTAGTCCTGCAAAGATCCTAAGGGCTTTTCTCAGCCCAACAATCATAACATCCTGCTTGGTGGTATACCCCTTTCCTATCCTATTTGTACCCTTGGCCCTATAGTGAAACCCCTCTTTTCTTGGCCAAACCCTTCCACCTCGACTCTCACGTTCTACCCTAGGCTCCTAAGCCTAGTGCTTACTTTAACATGCTATCAGAGCTGGTCCCGGTCTAAGGACCTCGTTTTCTTCTAAGGAACATGGGCCCACCCGTATCTAAGCGCGAAATGCGCCAACTTTTCTTTTTCTTCGTCCCGTCGCGCCCTGCACCCGTCCCGTTTCGTCGCCCACGGCCTCCCGTTTCGTCGCCCTGCGGCCCCTGATTCGTCGCCTCGCGGCCCCCCGTTCACCGTCGATCCGGCCGCCGACGCCAGTGGGCGCCAACACTAGCACCTGCGCCAGCGACGAGCGCCAGCGCCGGGGCCAGCCGCCAGCGCCAGCGCCAGCGCGACCGCCAGCGACTAACGCCAGCGCCAGCGCCACCCGCCGCCGCCCACGCCAGCGCTTGCCGCCACCGCTACCGCCAGCGCCAGCAGCCCACGCCAGCGTCGGCAGCGGGTGATGCCCCCCTTCCCACCCGCCCTCCCTTCCGCTCCTCCTGTCGTGGGGGGGGGGGGAGAGGGATGTGGGGGAGGGCGGGTGTGAGGAGCCAGCACGTCCTCCCTCTCTTACCCTCCCTTCCCTCTTCCTCTCTCCCTGCAGCACTAGTTGCTGTAGGGAAGGGGGGGGAGGGGGATGAGAGAGGGTAAGGGAGGGTAAGAGAGAGTGGTGGAACCAGTAGCCACGCATCTGCAGCTGCCGCCCCCTGCTTCCGTGGCACCTACAGCTGCAGCCCCTGACGCCTCGTTCGTCTTCTTTGCTGTTGAGCTGCAAACTAAGCGCGCCACAGCACTTTGTCTTCGTTCTCTCTTTCTTGCCTCAGGGCTTGCTGCAGTTGTCTTTGCCACTACTGCACTGGTTATCATTGTTCCTGCGTGCTACTGTTTTGAGTACATTTGCAGGTTGTCATTTGCATTTCGCTATTCCTGCATGCAGTTAAGGGGGGATGTCAGAATTGCATTGTTATAACTGCATGTAGTTCTAGTGTTAGTGTTGCTATCATAACATCCTGCTTGGTGGTATACCCCTTTCCTATCCTATTTGTACCCTTGGCCCTATAGTGAAACCCCTCTTTTCTTGGCCAAAACCTTCAACCTCGACTCTCACGTTCTACCCTAGGCTCCTAAGCCTAGTGCTTACTTTAACAGTTACAGCCACGACCTATTTTTCAAGGGTAAAACACACTGATTACACTTACCAGTGGCCGCTTTTTGAGGTTTACCCTGATTTTGTAAGCCTACTTAATTTGTTCCCCTTTCTTAAAAAGTGTAGACGTACAGGTTAGCCTGATTTTGCCACGGTGTCCTGATGTTTAGCCTTGCCAGACAGGGTGCAGAAAAGAATTCACTGAACTAGAAAACGACGGGCCGTTCGAAACTGTTTTTGTGTCGCGCCTCCTCTCAGCCCTACGCCTCCCGCCACTTCCATACCAACCACAATTCCCTCGCCTCTCCAAGCCCCACTCCCGCCAATCCGTTCCTTTCTCCCAGCCCCATCACCCGCGTTCCCCTCGCCTCTTCCGACCTCACACACCCTGTTTCCTTCGGCTCGCCAAGCCTCATTCCCCCCATTCCCTTCACCTCTCCCAGCCCCCCTCGCCCCAGTTCCCTCGCAACTCCCAAATCCATTCCGCCCATTTCCTTCTCTCCCCAGCCCCACTCCCCCGATTTCGCTCAAACCTTCCAGTTCCGCTCCGACATTAGCAATGCCGATTTTGTAGAAAGTAGAGTCTCGCAGCAAGCAGAGTGAAGGTTTGAGTAAACTACATAACAAGAAAAAAGGAAAACATAATACCCCTACACAATCAGGGTGTTTTTTCAGCGCACTTATCTTCCCCTGATTTTGACAGGGTGGAAAAAAATCATCCTGACAGACAGGGTGACGTCATCAAGGCACCCTGATTCCTAAGAGTGCCCAAAAACCAATTTTGGGCCCTGGTTACAGCCCCAAGGGACCCTGAGTGCTCAGGGTCACCAAAAACAAAGCTAAGGCCCTGGTTGGGAACCTGGCCACGTTCACCCGTCGGCCTGGGTCGAGTCTGTACACACTGACCACTACGCCTCCTCAGGTTGCTGCGTCTGCTCAGGTGTTTGCGTCATGTCAGGTAGCAGCCCCCTGCGAGTGTCGCCTCCTGTCGCACCAGACTCTCCTTTAGCACTACCGCCTTGGTCACCCCTCCCTGCCACGCCTTCGTGGCATGCACTCCCGCCTCCTTGTCTCTGGTCTTCCCAGGTCTCTGCCTTCCCTCCCACCCTCGCCTGCCCCGCCCTGCATTCCTTGCGTCGAGGGACGACACCGCGCCGCTCCTCACTCCTCCTCGTTTCCCCCGACGACAGCTCCCCTGCAGACTCTCCACTTGGACGTGTGGGGCCCAGCCCGCGTCACTGGACAGGGCCGTGAGCGGTACTTTCTGCTGGTTGTTGACGACTACTCGTGTTACACCACGGTCTTCCCCTTGTGCACCAAGGGTGAGGTCCCTGATGTCTTGATCCCTTGGATCTACGCTGTTTGTCTCCAGCTCCTCGAGCGTTTCCGCATGGACCTTCCTGTCCTACGTCTGCACTCTGACAGAGGTGGTGAGTTCTCCTCCCACCTTTTGCGGTACTTTTGTTAGGGGGAGGGCATCCTCCAGCTGTTCACGCTTCCGGCATCTCCATAGAAGAATGGGATTGCAGAGCGCCGCATTGGCTTAGTCATGGAGGTGGCTCGTACCTCCATGATCCATGCGGTTGCTCCCCATTTTCTGTGGCCGTTTGCGGTCCGGTATGCTGCGCATCAGCTCAACCTCTGGCCCCGTGTCTCCTTGCCGGAGACCTCGCCCACACTGCGTTGGATGGGGGAGGTTGGCAATGCGCCGCATTTCCGGGTCTGGGGCTCTCGTGCCTTTGTCCGCGATACCTCCGTGGACAAGCTCTCCTCCCGCGCTATTCCCCGTATCATCCTTGGCTTCCCCCCTGACGCGCCTGGCTGGCAGTTTTACCACCCCACCTCGCGCCGGGTTCTGCCCTCTCAGGACGTCACGTTTGACGAGTCGGTTCCTTTCTACCGTCTCTTCCCCTACCGCACTGCCCCTCTCCCCCCCCCGCCGCTCTTCCTCGCTCCAGGTCCCCCTCCGGTAGACCCCCCCCCCCCCCCCCTCAGGGTCCTGCTCCTTCAGGTGTGTCTCAGGTGGACCCACTTCTCTTGGCTGAGGGTCACTGGTGACTCAGGTGCTGCTGGGGGTGGTGCTGCTCGGGGTGCTGCGTCTGGGGGTGCGGAGCCTGCGGTTGCGGAGCCTGGGAGTGTCGAGCATGAGCGTGCGGGGCCTAGGGGTGCTGAGCCTGTGCTTACGGAGCCTGAATGTGCGGAGCCTGGGGGTGCTAAGCCTGGGGGTGCTGAGCCTGAGCGTGCGGAGCCTAGGGGTGCTGAGCCTGGGGGTGCTGCTTCTGGAGGTGCTGATCTTGGTGGTGCTGCGTCTGCCGGTAGTCTTCAGGGTGCCTCGCCGCAGCGGTCTCCCCTCTCACCTCAACAGTTGCGCGAGTGGTTTGCTCGACGTACCCGCCTTCGGAGTCGCGCTACTGGAGCTGGAGGCACTGGAGCTGGAGGTGCTGGAGCGGGAGGCGCTGGATCTCGAGGGGCTGGAGCTGGAGGCGCTGGCGCTGGAGGCGCTGGAGCTGGAGGCGCTGGAGCTGGAGGCGCTGGAGCTGGAGGCGCTGGAGCTGGAGGTACTGGAGCTGGAGGCACTGGAGCTGGAGGCGCTGGAGCTGGAGGTGCTGGAGCTGGAGGCGCTGGAGCTGGAGGCACTGGAGCTGGAGGTGCTGGAGCTGGAGGTGCTGGTGCTGGAGGCACTGGAGCTGGAGGCACTGGCGCTGGAGGCGCTGTTGTTGGAGGTGCTGGAGCTGGAGGTACTGGCGCTGGAGGCGCTGGCAATGGAGGTGCTAGAGGTGGAGGCCCTGTGCAGCAGCGACCGTTTTTCTTGCCGCCGCCGCAGCTGTCCGAGCTCCCACCCGAATCGGTGCTCCGTCAGGTTCTTAGTCTTCCTTCGTCCACTGCCCTTCCTCCGGACTCACCGCTGCCTGCCCCACCTCGTTACACTGAGCAGCCGGTCTCCCTTACAGAGTACAAGCAAAGTCACGCAGTGAGCAAGTGAGACAAAGCAGGCACAAGGCCTAGAGCAGTACAGAAACGCTGATGATCACCAGGCAGAAGTGCCTTGGTGAATATATCAGCAGTGTTGGCCCGTGTGGCCACGTAAGCAAGACAAAGCTGACCATGCTGCTGCAACTCTCGAGCAAGGAAGTAACGCAGAGCGATGTGCTTCGTTCTATGCTCCAGTCTGTGCTCCTGACACAAGGCAATAGCGGCCTTGTTGTCTACGTACAGGACTGGAGGAGAACGAGGCCGCTCTCCCAGGTCAGTCAGCAGGTAGGTGAGCCAGCGTAACTCCTGTGCAGCCATGGCTCCTGTGTAGATCTCAGCCTCACAACTAGAGCTGAGAACAGAAGACGAGCGGGTAGACTGCCAAGAAACAGAGCCAGAGCCAAGGCTAAAAGTGTAACCCTGTGACGACCGCTACGTAGCCAGGTCGTCAACCCAAGACGTGTTTGAGTGTGTAGTGAGGACAACTGAACTCCGTCCTCCAAGCACGAGCCCCATGCCCGATGTACTGCACAAGTAGCGTAACACCCTCTTAGCGGCCTCCCAGTGCTGTGGTCGGTGTCTCTCGGGAGCAACGTAGCGTGCCAGGATGCTAAGAGGGTACGCGAGGTCAGGTCGAGTGCAGATCATCAGGTACATGAGGCAGCCCACAAGCTCTGGATACGGGCCACTCGGCTCTACGAACTCGTCCGAAGGTGGAGCTGAGAGCGAGTGACCGGTAGGCAAAGGAGTGGACTGTGGCGAGGAGAACCGGAAGCCGAAGCGCTGAAGGACCTGGTGCACCATGTGTGACTGAGTCAGGGTGATGGTGCGCCGTGCTCTGTCAAGGGTGATCTGCAAGTGTGTCTCTTCTGCAGCTCCGACTTCACAAGAGCCAGTGCCTCAGTGTCACCAGTGGCAAAGACCAAGTTGCCAACGTACACGGGGATGCAGAACGGCGGAAGCAAAGTGTCAGTGCGCAGAAACAACGATGGGTCAGCAGTCGATGGAGCAAACCCAAGAGCCGCAAGTGTCGTCCTCAGTGTGTCGTGCCACTCACGAGGCGCCTGGCGGAGACCGTAGACCGGCCGTCGGAGGCTCCACTGGGTACCCTCAGGAAACCGCGCAGCCAGATCTCCTCGCGCAGGCTGCCTGCAAAAATGCTGTGCTGAAGTCAAGAGAGTGAAGCTCGTAGTTACGCTGAGCGGCAACGTGCACCAAAACCCAAAGAGTGGTCATCTTCGGGGTAGGGGAGAAGGTCTGGAAGAAGTCAACTCCCTGTCGCTGACTGAAGCCTCATGCAACGTAACGAGCCTTGAAGACAGGCGGAGAACCCGGCGGCCGCTTCATCCTGAAAATCCACATGCCATCGACTATGTTCGCCCCAGGAGGGGGAACCTCGTCGACGTAAGTGCCTGTGGACTTCGAGGATGCCATCTCTGCGTCCATGGCCGTCTGCCACTGAGAGGAGTAGGGACCCGAAATCGCCTCTGCATAAGAGCACAGGGTCGGGATGTCCAGTGCATCCGGGTCTCCCTCAGGTGCAAGCAGCATGGCCACGAGATGAGGTACAGCAGCTGCAAGACATTCAAAATTCCTCCTGCCTGTCCTCAAGGACATCCGTGCCAAGAGCACACTCACCCCCGACGGACGGAGGACAGACGGACTCAGACTCAGCAACAAGACTGGTGGCGTAGTCTAGACGACACGGAGCAGCGAAGTCAACAAGCTCGACAACTAAGGCAGACGCAGCAGTGGACTCAAAAGAAGGGTCAGTGCCAACAGTGGCTAGAAGATGCGTAACAGTAGGGCTGGCAGCACGAACCAAGTCCGACTCAGGGTCCGGAACGTTAGGAAGAGAGGACGCCGATGGAGACGGCAGGGGAACTCACACGTTGTGGAACAGAGGAAGGACGAAGTGCCATAGTGTGCGTGCCGGGGACAGGTGGAGGACGAGGACGGGGAACACGACGAGCACGGCGAACAGTGCAAACAGGGGAGGCAGGACGAGACACAGGCTCACGACGCTCTGTAAGGGAGGCTAACTGCTAAGTGTAACGAGGGGGGGCAGGCAGCGGTGAGTCAGGAGGAAGGGCAGTGGACGAAGGAAGACTAAGAACCTGACGTAGCACCAAGGCAGGCGGCAGCAGTGATAGTTGCAGCGGCGGCAAGAATAACGGTCGCCGCTGCACAGGGCCTCCAGCACGAGAACCGCCAGCTCTTGCGTCTCCAGCGTCCGCGCCTCCAGCTCCAGCGCCTCCAGCTCCAGCGCCTCCAGTGCCAGCGCCTCCAGCTCCAGCGCCTCAAGCTCCAGCGCCTTCAGCTCCAGCGTCTCCAGCTCCAACGCCTCCAGCCCCAGGGCCTCCAATCCCAGCGCCCCCAGCTCCAGTGCCTCCAGCGTCAGTGCCTCCAGTGCTAGCGCCTCCAGCGCCAGCACCACCAGGTGCAGTGCCTCCAGCGCCAGCGCCTCCAGCGGCAGTGCCTCCAGCTTCAACAGCGCCACTCCGAAGGCGAGTGCGTCGAGCAAACCACTCGCGCAGTGCCCCCAGCACTAGGACCACCAGTTCCAGTGCCTCCAGCGCTAGCACCTCTAGCTCCAGCGCCGTGAGCTCTAGTGCCTCCAGCGGCAATGCCTCCAGCGCCAGCGCCTCCAGCGGCAGTGCTTCCAGCTTCAACAGCGCCACTCCGAAGGCGGGTGCGCCGAGCAATCCACTCGCGCAACTGCTGCGGCGAGAGAGGCTCCCGCCGGCAAGACTGCTGCGGCAAGCCACCGGTAAGACCCCCAGCAGACGTAGAACCCCTAGGCTCAGCACCCCCAGACTCAGTACCCCCAGGCTTCGCACCCTCAGACTCCGCACCCCTAGGCTCAGCACCCACAAGCTCAGCACCCCCAAGCTCAGCACCCCCATGCTCAGTACCCCCAGAAGCAGCAACCTCAGGCTCCACACCCGCAGGCTCAGCACCCCGAGACGCAGCACCCCTAGCGGCACCACCCCCAGCAACACCAGAGTCGACATCAACCAGCTTCAGAGGCGGCGAAGACGGTCGAGGCGGAAAAATCGGAGGGGTCTCCAAGCGTGGTGAGCGGTGGGGGGACCACGACGCTCACGACGTGGGGGGAGGCTCACGACGCTCTGTAAGACCTCCTGTGGGACCAGTGTAAGGAGAGGGAGCAGGGAGAGGCGAGGTAGGTGGTAACTGTGACTGCGGCTGGACAGGCGGAGGACACTCTACAGAGGGAGGAGGACAAGGAGGAGGAGTCTGCCCAAGAACCTGCTGAAGGAGCGGTACGAAGTACGGTCGCGGCCGCACAGCGTCTCCGGAAGCAGAGGAGACTCCAGCGGCCGGGTCCTCAGTACCAGCAGGAGCTCCAGCGTCCGGGTCCACAGCACCAGCAGCAGCTCCACCGGCCGGGTCCTCAGCACCAGTAGTAGCTCCAACGCCCGGGTCCTCAGCAGCAGCAGCAGTGCCACCGCTCGGGTCCTCAGCTCCAGCAGCAGCTCCACCGCTCGAGTCCTCAGCACCAGCAGCAGCTCCACCGTCCGGGTCCTCAGCACCAGCAGCAGCGCCACCGCCCAGGTCCTCAGCTCCAGCAGCAGCTCCAACGTCCGAGTCCTCAGCACCAGCAGCAGCTCCACCAGGCGGGTCCGCAGCACCAGTAGCAGCTCCCACGTCCGGGTCCTCAGCACCAGCAGCAGCGCCACCCCCAGGGTCCGCAGCACCAGGAGCACCACTCCGAAGACTGCAGCGCCGTGTGTACCACTCGCGGATCTGCTGAATGGGGGGGAGCTCCTGGGTAGGAGGGGAAGTACCGGGACGAGCTCCAGCAGCACCTCTCCGGAGGCGGCAGTACTCGAGGTACCTCTCCTGCAGCTGCTGGGAGGAGAGGGCTCCTCCAGGTGTAGCACGCTCAGGCTCAGCACCCCCAGACTCAGCACCCCCAGGCTCAGCACCTCCAGGCTCCGCACCTCCAGGCTCCGCACCTCCTGGCTCAGCACCCCCAGGCTCCGCACCCCCAGACGCAGCACCCCCAGGCTCAGCACCCCCAGACGCAGCACCCCCAGGCTCAGCACCCCTGGCAGGACGAGAGTCAACAGCTACCTCGACAGGCTCACCCGGGTCTACCTGGGACACACCTGAGGGAGCGGCACCCTGAGGGGGGAGGGGGTCTGGTACCTCAGCACCTGGAGCGAGGAAGAGAGGGGGGGGGGGAGCGGGGCAGTGCGGTAGGGGAAGAGGCGGTAGTAGGGGACGGACTCGTCAAAAGTGACGTCCTGAGAGGCCAGGACACGACGCGAGGTGGGGTGGTAGAACTGCCAGCCAGGGGCGTCCGGGACAAAGCCAAGGAAGGCGCACGGGACAGCGCGACGGGAGAGCTTGTCCGCGGACGTGTCGCGGACAAAAGCTCGGGATCCCCAGACCCGAAAACGCGACGCATCGCCAGCCTCTCCCGTCCAACGCAGTGTCGGAGAAGTCTCGGGCAAGGAGACACGGGGCCAGAGGTTGAGCTGATGTGCAGCGTATCGGACTGCAAACGGCCACAGAAAATGGGGGGCAGCCGCATGGCTCAAGGAGGTACGAGCGACCTCCATGACCAGACCAATGCGGCGCTCAGCAACCCCATTCTGCTGTGGAGAGGCCGGAAGCGTGTACGACTGCTCAATGCCCTCCTGCTGACAGAAGGCCTCCAATAGGCCAGAGGAGAACTCCCCACCTCTGTCAGAGTGCAGACGCAGGACAGGGAAGTCGGAGCGGAAACGCTCACGGAGCTGGAGACGAGATCTGCGGATCCAAGGGATCAAGACATCAGGGACGTCACCCTTGGCGCGCAAGGGGAAGACCGTGGTCCGGAGTTGACCCTTGAGAGCTCCGAAGTTCCTTTGGGCCGACAACCCCCG